GGATGTTACCGAATGCTGAGTGCCCTGCGAGGGGAGGCTGCTGGGATGGAGAATAACAGGAGTGGACCCACTCGGGTCAAGTGGCCAGGGCTGGTGGCCAGGTCCTCGGAGATGACCTGTATGCAGGGAACCGAAGGTAGAAAAACACTCCAGGTGGGGGAAACGGCACACACAGAGGCATTAAGATCAGAAAGAGTTCCACGTGTGTCAGCTGGCCTCCCAGAGAACTGAGTCACATTTATCTATCTGCTCCAGCCCAGCCCTGGCCTCTGTGGTCACATTCCAGTGCTCCTGCTCTGTGACTGTCCTGGTGAAGTCAGAACAAGAAAAGCTGTGAGTGTGGATATTTTCCCCTTTGAGTGCAAGGTGAAGTGCAGACGTGTCCTTAGACCTCTAGACGCATTGCTGGCATAGCGAAGCCATGTCAGCCTCGCTTCTGTCAGGCGTCCCCCAGGCTGCTGCCTGGGTGGAGAGCGACCGGTGGTGGCAGTGGTGGTGGCCATGGGGAGCCCTCTGTTTGCAGTGAGCACTGCGGGCCTGCGGCCTCCGGGAGAAGATAAGGCCCCTGGTATTTGCCCTGCACGACCTTCTGGCTACCAATCCTTTTCTCTGACATTTTCTGAGGCTGTCGTCACAAAGTGCCACAAACTGGATGGTTTTAAAAAAGAGAAATTTATTGTCTCACAGTTCTGGAGGCTAGAAGTCTGAAATCGTGGAGTCGGTAGGGCCATGCTCCTCCTGAAACCTGTAGGGGAGCCCTGGCTTCTGGTGGTTTGCTCTCAGTCTTTGGTGTTCTTAGCAGCTCCAGGCCTTGCCTTCATTCCTTCGTCATCACGTCACATCCTCCCTGTGGGTATCTGTCTTCACACGGCTGGCTTCTGAGGACACCAGTTAGATCAGGGGCCCACCCTGATCATCTTATGGCCTCATCTTACCTGATCATCAGCAATGACCTGATATCCAGATAGATCCCATTCTGAGGTTCTGGGGATTAGGACTTCAGCATATCTTTTTTGGGGGTGACACAGTTCACCCATAACACCTGCCTCACTACAAATCAACCCATAACACCTGCCTCACTTGCCCATATTTCATTTCAGGGCCTTCCATGGTATAATTTCTTTGGTTTTGAAAATCACCTTTTACTTGAAAAGTCGAAAGAGAAGTCTTACATTTTCCAAGTTTCGATTGCTTTGTTTTTTTAGCCTACTCCATTTTCTCTTTTGTCACAAGCCTAAGCCTTCATGGCCAGACTGTTCTGACACTGAGCAGAGAATGACCATTTCTCCCTGGCTCCTCGAGAGTCCCTGGGTCCTGGAGGTTTCCATGAGGCAGTGATTTGAAAGCTCAGCCTTTGGGCATGACCTTTACAGGGCTTTATGAAGGGAGGAGTGATTCAGCTTCGCCTCACCTTCAACGTACCTGCAGCAGCTGCTCTTCTTGCTCTGGAGCATTTGGCTTTAAATTATGTTTCTTGTCAACAGGATGGGCACCTTGTGTTTTTCTCTTTCACCCATTCTTCTAAGCTAATGTTTAACTTCTTGCAAACCCAGTGCACTTTGCATGAAGAAATAGCTACTGTTGGCTTTCTTGAGTCAAAACACACCAGCCTCTCTCAGGGGTTGCAACAGACAAATCCCCAACATCAGTGGCTTCAATGCCTCATGTGCCATGTCCGACCTCCAAAGGACAGTTTTAGACGGTCAGGGAAAATTATATTGGCATGAAGAAGATTGTTCTAATAAGACGCAGCCTAGCCTACTAATTACAGCAAAGATTGATGAGACCGATCACTTGCTGGCTGTGAACTTGGGCAAGTTACTTAAGCATCAGTTTCATTCCCGTCTGTGAGTAGAAGTTATTATATCGGCCTTATAAGTTCGTTGTGAGGATTGAATGAGCTAATGCTGGAAACATGGTTAGCACAGTACTCAGCTCATAGTAACAGCAGCAATTGTTACTAATGTAAAGAGCTCATGTTATTTCCCCCTTTATTTACACACTGCTCGCTTTACTCTCTTTTCCACTGGTTTCAGGTTCATTTTTTCTTTTGGGGCATCTGAAGGTCAAGTTGAAAAAAAGGAATGCAACTAAATATGTTTAAGGAATGCGGGTGGAAATCTGGTTAAACATGATTTAAAAAAAAAAAAAGACTGACAAGTATTCATGCAGTGTCCTACTCTAGCACTGACACTTCATTAGGGTAGTTGAATTAGTGGAAATAAACGAAGTCAAATATCGGTTAGTAATTTAAATGTCAAGGAATGAAGCCTTGCAGTGAAGCAGGCAAGGCAGATAGTTTTGTTTGGCGGCAAAAGCGCCAACATTCCTGAAACAATGAGCTCACCCTCAAATTCTTCCACGCCCATAAAAGAATCTAGGACTTGTTTGCTCATTTATGCTTTGGTTTCCTGGGCAGCTGAGACTAAATAGAGCCGTGGTTTTTAAACTTTAGAGTGCATTAGAATCATCTGGAGGACTTTGTTAAAAATGTGAGTCCTGAGTCTCAGCCTCAGAGCTATTGATTTCTAAGACTGGGGTGGGGCCCGATAATTTGCACTGTTAACAAGTCCCCAGTGAGGCTGAGGCCGAGGCCGAGGCTACTTGCTGATCCAGGAACCACGCTTTAAGAACCACTGTGTGGAGTCCTGTGAGGCACTGTGATGCGGTGTAGAGCACAAGGAGGTGGGTTCAAATTTGGAAGCCACCCTTAGGAGCAGAGTTATGTTAAGCAAATAATTTCTCCAAGATTGAGTTTCTTCCACTTTAAAATGGAAATAATAAAATCTTATTAAGGCCATTGTAAGAGTTAAATAAGTTGTCTACAAAGTGCTTTGTTCACTGCCTGGCATGTATTAACTTAAAAGATTCTATTACTTTTACTGTAAGATTTTTTCATAAGTCATATAAATATTTCTGAATATTCTGGGCCACCAAGTCTATCAAATAAACTATACTGCTCATTCAAATAACTAAAACAGTTTGAAATCACTAAGATTCTACTTCAGAGTGCCAGTGCATTTTTTCAATCTGGGGGATGTGTGTGTGGTGTTGTTTAGTTTTTTTGTTTAATTAAATGAATAGTTCCCTCCCACTTAAATTTTACTGGGTATCAAGTCGCATAACAGATTGGGAACTTCATTCTTCTCTAATTTTGCACATTGGAATTTCAGCATGTTCTGATGTGTAGGTTGTACAGGGCAGTGTAAGGACACAGCTAGACTGGAAACCCTGAGTTTTCATCATTCATGAGATAATTAGAATGGGCTCCTACTTGGTCTTTTTGTGTTCAGAAGCAACTGTGTTTATCTGCATGGCCCAGAACCACGTGGGGAGCTTCTTAAATGTGCCATGTCCACCTTAACGCCTCCTTTCTAAGGAGTACGATTCAGTGTGTCCATGACAGGGCCCGGTCGGCTGCATTTTAAACAATCACTCCAGGTGGTTCAGAGGCCAGATTTCAAGAAACACCAGGAAAGGGTGCAGTGGGCATGACCACATTCCAATTTAAGTGCCGCTGCTTACCTAGTCATGTGGACTTGAGCAGCCCTCCAGCCTTCTTACATCTTGGTGTCTTGTACGCGAAATGTGTCACTTTACTCACTGGTCAGGACTGTGATACAGGCTATAGTTAATGTATATCAAATGCCTGGTACCGCGCTGGGCATGAGGCACCCAAACGCTGTAATATTGGGGTGGTCCCTCTAGAATGCTACACTTGGAGGGCGGACACATAAACTGAAAAGTTCACAGATGGATAGAATTGAAATGAAGTTGGTTGGCTCTGTGAATCCATAATATATTTCTTAAGCCCTGGAGGAGAATTCTCCCATGGTTATGTTGAAGTGACTGAATTCTTACGGTACCTTTAGATCAGGCACTTGCCCATCTAGTTCCTGACTCATATTAATTACTTTTTTAGAATAAAAAACTCTTTATTTTGGATACTCTAAGATTATGATGGTTGATTGTATTGACCCAGATTGTTCAATCTAATCTAGTAAATCAACAGACTGTCATTTTTTACTGTGCCAGAACATTAATTCTCTGTCACTTTGATGTGACAGATAATGTCCTTTCATGAAAATATTGAACACTCCAGGAGAGCCTAAATGAAGCCATAGTAACACAGAATAACAAGGCCACTATTACTCAGTAACAGGGTAGGAAAATCAGTTCGGGGGAAAAAAACATTATTACTGTAAAGAGAGGTTTTTTATTCCAAGAGTTAGAAAATGCCCTATAAGTGCATGTTTACTTGGATTTCTCTCAGTGTCTTGTGGCTGTTCTGTAGCCTCTTAAGCAGTTTTAAGGTATCTTCTTCTTTCTGCAGGATGGCCTTTCACAGCTTACTGACACGTCTCTAATGCATGTGTTTAAAATCAGTACCGTGGCAGTTTTCGTTTCCATGCTGTTCCTGAAGATCCCTGTCAGTGACTTTTCCGAAGAGAATTTATCAGCCACAGTTGCACACCGATTAAACAAAGCTCCCGACAGGCAGTCCTAGCGGGGTTTTCCCACAGGGACCCTTCGGCGCAGGGCTCCCCGAGGGCAGCGGTCAGCATTAGTTAGACGGCGTGGGCCTGTGGCCCTCAGCTGCTTCTGCGGAGGTGCAGTGAGGGGCTGTGAATTCTCTTAAAAACAAAGGATGGAAGACATCCCCACTTGCTCTTTGCTTCGACGCAGATGCCACTTTAAAGCCAATATTCTTCAGAGCTACCAGGGTTAATAGAATTTATACTTCTAGCTTGTTACACAAGAGAGAAAAAGGACAGGCCCCATAGCGCGTGCGGTAGAGGTCATGTTGCGCGCACCTCTCCTGAGGGGAGAGGAAGAGGTGCAGATTCTGGGGGTGCTATGTTTCTCACACACACGCGCGCACACACACACACACATGCGCGCGCACACACACGCGCACACACAGGCACGGGAATATGCAGATGGCATATAAACAAAGATGTCATTTTGAACTAGTGGGACTCTCAGGTCCTTCCTTCCAGGTGGGACCCCGCGGGACGGTGCGTGACTATCCAGGCTTCAGCCCATCAGCGGATGCGGAAGCGATTCAGAAGGCCATCCGAGGGCTTGGTGAGTCATGCTTTATCTTTCCTTTATTTATTTATTTTTTTAAAATATATCTTTATTGATTTCAGAGAGAGGAAAGGAGAGGGGGAGAGAGAGAGAAACATCACTGATGAGAGTCACTGATCGGCTGCCTCCTGCGCGCCCCCTGCTGGGGGTGGAGCCCGCAACCCGGGCATGTGCCCTGACCGGGAATCGAACCCGATCGCCTGGATCCCAGGTCTACGCTCAACCTCTGAGCCACGCCCAGCTGGGCATTTCATTCTTTTCTTAATGTTGATGCAAATTAGATCATCTTTTACTGTCTAAAGGTGAAATGGTTCAGTTTGCCCAAGTTGGCTTCCTTAATTAGAGAAATTGTAAGGGACTTAAAATTGTGAAACACTGAGAAAAGTATACGGAACCCAGTTTTATTAAATCTTAAATCATGTCGTATTTCCTTAATATTAAACACTACCATCACCATCACTGCTACCAAAAACAATAATTATCATCATCATTATAAGCTGTCACAGATATGGTCCCTGCTAGTTCTTCCAGGATCTCATTCCCTGGAGAGAAACACTATCCTAAACTAGTTTATTCCCAGGAATCTTGTAATTTCGTAACTGCACATGTATGTACGTACTGTTTTGCTCTCAAACAGTATAAATTGAAATCATGCTGCATACATTCTTCTGCAGCTTTTTATCCCTTAACATTATGTTTTTGAGATTTATCCCTGTAGATATATTTAGCTCTAGTTCATTAATTTTAACTGCATAGCAGCCTATTGAACTGCTATGTCATCAGATGGGAATATTGATGGAATGTTTAAGTTGCCTACAATTCTTTTCTATTACAATATAAAAATACCGCATTGAATATTCCTGCTTATGTCGCGCGTGCACACTTGCTAGCATTTATCTAGAATAAAACAATAGGAATTTCTGGGTTCAAGGCATTTATCTTCACATTAAACATTTGGCCAACTGCTCTCTGAAATGAACATACAAGTTAGCATTCCCAGCAGGAATACGGGAGATTTCCTCCTGCTCCGTATTTTCACCAATACTTGCCAAGGTCACGTATTATTCAGTTTTCCAACTGCGTGGGACTAAAATGGTACCGCATTCTGCACGCATTTCCTTTCTTCTCCACATCCCACGGCTGAGTCAGTGAAGCGCCATTTCTTGTTTATTTGCTCCCTCCTTCCAAGATTGATTTTGTCATATCTTCTATCCAGTTTTTAGTTGGATCGTCTTCTTCATAGTTGGCAGGGATTTTTGTTATAAATACTGGATATTAAAGTTTTTAAAAATCACAGGCCATGAAAATATCTTCTTCCAATCTGTGGTTTTCTTCCAACATTGGTTATGGTACATTTTATTGCAAGTTTGTGGATCTGAAATGCTTGAGAGAGAGATGGACCAGAGAGGGACATGTTTTGGAGTCAGAGGTTTGGGTTAGGTTCCTGCTGCACCAACGATCAAGATTGTTGCTCCCTGGGGAAACCAGAATTCTCACAGGGGAGCTCATGGGCATGCCAGCCTCTCGTGACCGTAAGTCAGTACCCACTGGCAGTAGCCGTGGTCCTCCTGCGTAGGCACATCCTGAAGCCGCTCCACAGAGCATCCGAGCTAGATCCCAGTGACCTGTGTACGAGCAAAGGGGTGTAGCCTTCATCCTGAAGGTTAACGAGGGCCATTACGATTTCAGCCAAGAATCAGTATGAACAGGTGCATGTTTTAAAGCTTTAGTTAGGCAGCGATAGATGGTATGAGTTATAAGGGGGTCAGGCTAGGAGGCTGCTGAAGCTCCTGGGTAACGCGTGGTGAGCCACAGGCAGGGGAGAGGGCAGATCTGAGAGGTGCAGGTGACTGCTACTGTGCAGGGAGCAGAGAGGAGAGAGGAGTGTGGGATGACTCCGGGGGTCTTGGTTGGATGACTCCATCCATAGTGTCACTGATGAGGGAACAGAATGAAAGGGAAGCCAGAGAGGAAGTAAAACGAACTCAGCCCGGGGCATGCTGAGTTTGACATGCAGGTGGACATGTCTGGTCACGTACCAACACAGATGCCCTTACAGGTCCCAGTTTATCAGACTCACAGCTTGAATCTAAGTCTGTGTTGTCTTAACTTTAGACCACAGATACAGTGGGCAGCGCCTTTCAATGGAAGGCTTAGTAGCTAACCAAGTACCCAGTTCCTTGGTCCCATCAGTGATGGAGAGTGTGTACCGTTGATTGCCAAGGGAATGCATAGCCGAGGTGTGTGTGAGTCACCTCCACACAGAGAAGCTGAGTCCAACATTCCAGTTGCTCTCTTACACTGTTCTTGTCATGCAGGCCCAGCGCATGCAGGTGCGTTCCTCTCCCGCGACGGAGGCTAACACGACTCCCACATTATCTTAATGCTATAATTATCAAGAAACTAGTGATCTTGAGGTCATTCTTGGAAGGCCAACATCAGCCCTGGCCTGATGTTATTCTTTACTCAGATGGTTAAGTGTATAGACGTGGAATGCCTGAGAGAGGTATGAACCAGAGAGAGGGGTTTTGGAGTCAGAGATTTGGGTTCAAATTCCTGCTGCACCACTTAAAAGCTGCATGACTTTAGCAAGTGAGGCAAGTTTTCCAAGTGTTAGTGTCTTCATCTTTTTTTTCTTTCTTTTTTAAATTTATTGATTGATTTTAGAGAAAGGGAGAGAAACATCCCTTTGTTGTTCCACGCATTTATGCATTCATTGGTTGCTTCTTTTGTGTGCCCTGACCAGAGATTGAACCCCAAATCTTGGCATAGCGGGACGACACTCTGACCGACTGAGCTGCCCGGCCAGGGCTAGTGCCTTCGCCTTTAGGACAGCTTAATCATACCTGCCGCCCAGGGCCCCTGTGAATATGAAATATGACAGTAATTAAAAGGTGCCTAGTACATGGTAGGTTCTCAATAAATGTGAGTTCCTCTCTGTTAGAGGAAAGAAGATTTTGCTACCAAGTATGGAGGAGATAAGAAAAGACAAGATAGTAACTGAACCTCATACGGGTGAAAACACATGGTCCAAAAAACAGTATGTTCCTGTGCTGCTCCGTCAGAGGGATACTTAGGCAGCGATTGTTTTCTTCCCCCGAAACTATCCAAATAAAGTTAATTTCCTTTCCCAAAAGTCCAGCAAACAAAGAAATAAAAATTTCCACCTGGTAGTAACCTGGAAGTGAAAAATTAACGTGTCTTCCTGCCTGTATTTGTTTCAGACCACTGATCATTTTTCTTTTGTTCGTGGCAGATATTAAGCATATTTGGGTCGATGGTGAGTGAAATTATTCTCATTGCGTTTAGGAACTGACGAGAAAACACTCATCAGCATCCTGACCGAGAGATCGAGTGCGCAGCGGCAGCGGATTGCGAAGGATTATGAAGCGGCCTCCGGAAAGGTGCGCGTGGCCAGCGTGGCAGCCGGGAGCTCCGCTCGTGGCACAGGGTGGCCCGGGCGGGACGCCCACGGGTCTGCCTGAAGCCGGCTGTAGGCGGAAGCCCGGGCGTATCTGGGCGGCAGCCCGGAACATGCGCCCCGGTTTTGCCCTTAGCTGGCTGAATGGCCTTGGGCACGTTATCTGATCTTTCTGGGCCTTAATTTCTTCACCTGTTGAAGAAGGAAGGTTGCCCTAGATGGGTGGCTCTGACCCAGGAATGGTTTTACTCTCCAGGGAATAGCTGGCGATGTCTCCAGGCACTTTGATCTCACAGCTGGTGGGGGAGAGAGGGGCGTTTCTGGCCTCCGGTGGGTACAGGTCAGGGATGCTGCTGAACATCGTCAATGCACAAGAAAGCTCCCGCCCCCCAACGAAGAATTACCTGACCAACTATCCGATAAATCCTGTCTTAGATGAGCTTTCATTTCTCTTTCAACTTTAACGTGTGTATGTGATTATAGGTTTAATTCATTCAGCAAATGGAAACTTACTAAGTACAGGAAGTTACATTAAGAACTATACAGGAACATTTGTGTGTCTCTTTCTTCACTTTATTTGTTCAGTAATGGACTACTCTGTGTCAGGACTTGGGTACTACGCTGAGTCAGAAGAGATCCTAGACATTGGAGGTTCACTGGCATAAAAAGCAGATCCTCTCTTCTTTCACAGAGCTACCATTCTATTAGAAAAATAATAAATATGTAAATAAAATAAATTCAGATATTGGGAAGTGCTGTGAGAGAATTAAAATGGGATGATTGCTAGAGGATGACCCGTGAATGGCTCCTTTAGATCGGTGGTGAAGAAATGTCAGTGAGGGGTTGTTACCTTACTCAGCTATGACTAAATACCAAGGGTTCTGCTCTGCTTGATCTGGAGAGAGGAGCATTTCAGACAGAAGGTGCAGCAAATGCAGTAGCCCCGAGGCAAACCCAGGTGGGAATTTTCAGAAACAGAAAGAGTTCCAATATGGTGGCAGCGTGGAAAGTCAGAGGGAGAGGAGGGGAGAGTTGAGGTTGGAGAGAGGGTTAGAACATGCTGGGCCTTGGGGTCTGGTACAGAGTTTAGATAAAAGAGAACCACTGAGGGTTTGCGAACAAGGGAGTAATGTGATCTAACAGCTTTAGAAGATTATTTTAGCTTTCATGCTAATGAGCTGTGCAGGGGAAAGAGTGGTGACGGAGACCAGTTGGGCTGTTGGGTCCAGGTGAGAATCGAGTGTCCTGGCCATGCAAAGGCAACTCAGACATCACCTCCTGAAAGGGTTCTCCAAGTCCCAGACTCCACCGAAACACCCTTCTCAGATACTTGACCTTCACACTTTACCAGATATTTAATATATTGAAATTTCATATTTGAATATTTCTGTTTTTCCCATTAGAGCATAATGTCCTAGTGGTAAAGACTGTGGCTAACTGACCTTTAAGTGCCTAGCACAGAGCAGGAGTCCAGTAAACTTTTGTTGAATTCAGTGAATTGCCAAGCTTCTAGGCAAAGCAGCACACTCATGAATAGGGAACATGAATGACCCATTGGCCTTTCAGGATTCGCAAAATATGGAGGAAGGATGGAGGTGAAGGGTGACAACCATTTCTCACAGTGGGATAGAATGGGAGCATGTGAAATAGATTCAGTTGGAAAGTCTCGGTTTGAGGACAGATGGTGGTGGAATTTAGCATTTAGAGAGGAAACACCCTGTGGCAATTAAAGCAGAGCTAGTGGCATTTGGCTCCATTCCATCTATTTGCATGCAATTTCCATGCAGGAGCATGGCCCGCCCCCTGCCCTCAGGGGCTTTGTAGACGCTGGTTGGTATCCACCTTGTCATAGCTGTCTGGGAGGCTGCCAGCCTCTGTTCCAGAGCTAAAAATAACCAAAAGCAAGAAAAATATTCACGAACACTTCTCTGAATATTGGAAATAAAAACCATGTTCCCTGCCTTCAAGCAGGGATGGTGGATCATACTTACATAATGTATGGAAATAGCATTAAAGCACAGTATCAATATATAATGTCTGCCCTGTTGCCACACGTAGGGTTCCCCCTGCTTCTGTTACCAGAAATTACTTTTGATGCTTCCCAGTTCTATACTCTTACCAGAGACAAATGACCAACCACTGCCTTCCCTTCCCCCTTCTTTTTGAAGCTCTTTGGCAGTCACTGAGAAGCAAGGCAGGAAGAGAACTGCCGCTGCAACTGGGTGGGAATTCTAGGGTTCCTGGTCTTCCCTTCCCTCTTTCCTCACCCCAGTCCCGGCACTGAGAGTATCAAGGACCTAGGAAATGCGTTTGAATACACAGTTCCTATTTGTGGCTCTCGTGGAAACTCCCTTCATTGGCTTTTCTTCAGGAAACCTTCCATGAAATAGAAGGACATTTTGGAAGCAATCATAAATTGCAGATTAATATCCGTAGAAATATTTTCCCCATGACCATTTATTCCCTGTGGATGGGCATGTTTTCATCTGTATTGTTACATATGGTCATCTTTCACTAGGCAACTTGGAGGAAGAAAAAGAAAGGGTATATCACATGTACCTTTTGGGGTCTTTTTAATTTCAGAAACTGAAAGATGACCTGAAGGGCGATCTCTCTGGCCACTTTGAGCATCTCATGGTAGCCCTCGTGACACCTCCGGCAGTGTTTGATGCAAAGCAGCTGAAGAAATCCATGAAGGTATGAGCCCTACCTGAGCCACTTCTGCCCAGGATTTGACTATGTCATCAAAAATAGTGACTTTCTTCCAGTGCACACTTAAGATATGAGTGTAAATGTGCTAGATTTGGATGTCATTTTGATTCTGTGCTCTCCAATTGGTAGAACAACTCTGAAATGGGAAGCAGCTGTAGAACCTTGAGCCCACATGATCCTGGGATGAAAGGACATTGTCACATTCAAATTTTATTTGTTGTTTAATCTGAGGAGTCAATTTCCCTATTTTGCTGTCATTCAGAATGAATGGCACCATCATCAACCCCATTGCTTAGGCCAAAGACTTAGGGTTACCTTTGATCCCTTGCTTTCCCTCACTCTTCAGAGCTCCCAAATCTGTCTGCAGGCCCATTAGCTCTACTCCAAGAGTCATCAAAAATGAGAGCACATCTTTCAAAATCTGTTGCTAATATTCCAGTTCAACCACCATCATCTCTTGACTGGACCATACCAATAGCCTCCTAATTGGTCCCTTTGCCTCCATTTTTGCACATCTCAAATGTATGCACACAGAATAGCCAAAATCGTTTTTATAAAGTTATTTTTAGGATCTTTTATGTAATTCAGCTGCATAAATCACCAATGGATTTGAATACTTAAAATTTAAACTCCTTACCATGACCTTCATTATCCAGCACAATCTGGCTCCTGTCTATCTCTCTGACTTTTTAAAATTCTGTCTGTATCAGTCAGGGTTCCCCAGAGAGGCAGAACCAGTAGGCAAGAGATATATATTAAGAGATGTATTGCAAGGAATTGGCTACATGATTATGGAGCTGGCTAGGCAAATCTAAAATCTGAAGGGCAGACTTGAACTCTTAGCACAAGTGGAGCTGCCACCCACAGGTAGAATTTTTTCTTTTTCAGGGGAGCCTCAGGTCTGCTCATACGGCCTTTCAACTGACTAAATAAGGCCCACATAAAATATCTAAAACAATCTCCCTTACTTAAAGTCAACTGGTAATGGACTTCAGTTATATCTACAAAACACCTTCACAGCAACACCTAATTAGTTTGGTTAAATAACTGAGGACTGTAGCCTGGCCAAGTTGACACCTAAAACCATCACACCCACTCCTCCCCTGCACCCTCTCCTAACCACCCCAGTTCAACAGATATCCAGTTTAAGTCCAGCAATTATGTCTTCATCCAAGCTAAAAAGAGTAAGGGACAAAAAAACTGTTCACCTCTGATCCTTGAGGACTATCAGACACTGTATGTGGTACTTCACATATATTCCATTGATGAGAATGTAGTTATATGGATAAACCTAGCTCTAAGGGAGGCTGAGACCTACGGTATTTATTTGGGTAGCTATGTGCTAAGTTAAAAATTAGGGGTTCTACTACCAAGCAAGGAAGCTAAAAGATGTATTGGGTCCACTCGGTTTTGCTGTGAACCTAAAACTGCTCTAAAAAATATTTAAAAATTTTAAATTAATTAATAATTTTTAAAGGAGAAATATGGGGGCAACTAGGAATCTGTGATGGAGAGACAGACGCCAGCCTATGTCCATATGCTGCATCGGTCTTATTTGCTCAAGTCCTAGTGTAAATGGCTTCTCTTGGAGTGTCAGTGTGATTCAGTGTTCTCAGTATAGACTCAATATAGGCGCAGGGGTTACTAGTCCCTAAACCAATGGGCCCATTATACATTATTGAGGCTTTAAAATCTCCCTGAATGAAGAGGATGATACATGCTGTGTAGGGATGAACTCAGTCCAAAGAATTGCAGAGCCTTCCTAAATATAGTGGTATGTTCAAATGCTCACTTCTGATCTTGAATGACACAGGCTTTTCCCTTTATACTCTTTCTTCCTAGAATTATTTAATTGATTTTTACACTAGAGTATGAAATTTGGGGAGAAATCTTGATGTCAGCTAACTCCACATGATTCATATTTAATGCTAAAATATGGAATATTAGAAACTGCTTTAGAGCCATATAAGACCTTATGTTGATTTGTTCAAAACTGTTCTTTTTATTCATATAAAACAAGATATTAAGACTGAAATGGGGGGTAGGATGGGTGAAGGGTGGAAGGGATCAATGGGGTTAAAGGGGACATCTGTAATATTTTCAACAATAAAGATAAACTAAAAAAAAAAAGAATGTCAAGAATAGGAAAAAAAACCTGAAATGCATGAAATTAAGTTTTGTAAGTGTTCTAAAAATAGATTTCCTGTTTAGGGCACTGGAACAGATGAAGATGCATTGATTGAAATCTTAACCACCAGGACGAGCAGGCAGATGAAGGAGGTCTCTCAAGCCTACTACACAGGTCATCGTCCTCTCTGCTTCCCTTTCCACCATTCACACATGTATGAGCCAGAGCCAGTGTTGCTTTTCCCAGAAACCCACCAATTTCTTCTCCATAAGGCCTTTGAGAAGGCAAGACATCAAAAGGAAGTTTCACTCTAAAATGGGCTAAGGTCTGTGGATTTTCAGGGAAAAATTGAATTTGATTGAGCTAGAAACTGCTACATAACAATGGCATTAAATTTCCCTTTTGCTCTCAGCAATCACTGCTTAATTGAATCAGCTAATTTCATCAATGTAAGAGATTCAAATCATTGTATATTAATATTATATGTTAAAAGCCACTTACATAAGCCTCCTGACTTTCGGTGTGGGAAATTAGATGAACCATTTAGAGAATGTGTTGAGCATGTAGATTCAGTATAATTAGCTGAAGTCCTAATAGTCTGTCAGCTTTGTAAAAATTAGAAAGCCCCTGCAATGCAATTCTGACACCAACTACCCAGGGTTAGTGACTTCACAAGTTAGAGCGCAGGCCCCACGAGGCTACCCTTACTTCAGAAACCAGCCACAAGGGCAGGTGTTCCCAGGACACATGTGCTGCTTTTCTTTTTTAAATATGTCTTTATTGATTTCAGAGAGAGGAAGGGAGAGGGAGAGATGGAAACATCAGTGATGAGAGTCATTGATCAGCTGCCTCCTGCACGCCCCCTGCTGGGGATCGAGCCCGAAACCTGGGCATGTGCCCTGACCAGGAATCAAACTGCAATCTCTCGGATCCTAGGTTAATGCTCAACCACTGAGCCACGCCGGCTGGGCCCACATGCACTTTTAACCAAATGGCTACAAATTCAGAGGTTCTCACTCTCCCCTCAGGTTCAGTAGCTCACTAGAATGACTGATAGAACTCAAGAAAGTGCTGTATCACCATTAGAGTTTTACTAGTCAAATGAAGAGATGCATAGGGAGAAGTCTGGGAGGGTCCCAAATACGAAGCTTCGATGTCCTCAAGATGCGTGACTCTCCCAGCACATCGATGTATAATTACCAAGCAGGGAGACTCACTCCCGCTTTGGAGTCCAGAGTTCTTACTGGGGTCTCGTTACACAGTCATGATCGATTGCACCACTGGCCACATGCTTAAACTCCATCTGCAGTCCTCCTTCCACTAGAGGGCAGGCTGATACCATGTGTCTCAAAACCTGAACCCTCTAATCACGTGGCTCGTCTTTCTGGCGTGACCAGCCCCTGATCTCTCAGATCCTGAGGCATCTTGTCAGCAAAAGTCAACTGTGGTTCATGGGGCCTGCCACGGATAACGAAGACATTTCTGTTATTTGGGAAACTCCAAGGATTTAGAGGCATCTTCCCAGGAACGGGACAAACACCAGCCCAATTCTGTGTTATACAAGGACCTCTGTAACCCTCTCCAAGTACCTCAAGGGACCCATAGTTTCTGTATTTGTGTGTCAGGAAGCTTCTGCAGTGGGAGAGATCTAAATGAGGGGTACACTGGCCCCCAGGTGGGGGTCAGGGAGGTTACTTTGAGGAAGTCTCATTAGAAGGTAAATGTCTCAGTGGTAGGTGTTTCATTGTTGATGTGTTAATCAGGGTCTAGTGAGAAAAACAGAAATAGCACTTGGTACTTTAACAGAGAGAATCTGATGTAGAGAATTGCTTAGACACCTTTTAGAGGACCGAAAAGCAGAACGGGCACACAGGTGTGGCACAGAGGTGTAACCCCCAGGGCTGGAAGGAGGCTGGGGCTTTCAGATGCTAGGAGCGCAGAGGAGCGCAGCGTCTTGCAGGCGTTGACGCCTCGGGGGCTCGGAGGAGTTCAGCCGTCTGCGACAGGGCTCCATCTGGCTGGAGCTGGTACCCCCGTGGGGGTGCAGAGTGACTCGGTCTAGTTGTCTGGAGACGGGTCGCTGTCAGGGAGAGAGCCCTTCACTGGGTTGACACTGGCCTGAACAGCAGCAACAAGCGGGCTCTTCTTTCCTCCTGCTGCCTCCCAGGCTCCCTCTGGTGCCCCCCAGCCCCGACATCGGTGAACCTGGCAGGGTGCTGGGGGTGGGTGCAAAAGAGAAATGTAATTTGCAGAGTCCCAAACCCAGCTCCACAAAGCAGGGCGTAGAAAGGTAAATTTGGAGTAGATGGAATAACGGCTTGATGGGTAAAGTACATTGTAGGTGTTTAAAAAATTTGTTTCCATCAATTCAACAAGATTTTCATATAAAAAATCCTTAGAGCCAGGGCTCTGCACCGAGGGTCCTTGTTGCTTCCTGGTGTTTCTTAGAAAGGCCTCTGCTCCACGAGTTGACCGGCCGCAGGAGGTCCCTGCAGCCCCGCACTGTGCACAGACAACCGTGGAGCTGGCCTTCCCCCGAACAATGGACGGCAGATTCAAGTATTTACTGAATGAACATCCTCAGCATCGAGACTGGGACCCTAAGGCCAGTGCAGGTTCCCCTCGTTTGGGATGTTCTGCGGTCAAGGTCAGAGTTCCCAGGCGCGTGGCGTCGGTGTGGGCCCGGCTCCCCGACGGCCCGTAGGAATGGAATCGGTGCAGGTTCCCTTGGTTGGTGGGGGCTAGTGACACTGAAACATCAGTCACGCGTAGCCAGGCCCTGCAGCCACTCGGCCGCCTTGTCACTCCCTCGGTGGCCTGGGTACCCGCGTGCCGATGTTTTCGTCACAGCAGCTCCCTCGCTCTCTGCTTCTGCTCCTCTCTTCCCTGACCACACAGCGGTTTTTACTCGAAGCTGGTATCTGCCCATGGTTTCTGGTTATTCTTGGCTTCTGTTTTGTGCCTTCTTTCTTGGAGCCTTTTCCCTTTTTTGCTATTGTCTTTGCCTCTTGTTTCTGTGCAGCTGACTCCCTGGGGAGAAGCCTCAATGGGCTCAGGAGGGCCCCCTCTAGTAGAGAGCGTTATTCTGGACAGTTCTCCCACCAGGTCACCTCTAGTCAGATGCCAGCCCTGTTGCAGTCAAGTGATGGTGTCATATAATGTGAAATGGTGACCCAGGCATGAGAAATCCATCCACTTGGCCCTCGTAAAGGAACTAGGCATTTTGTTTCATGTTCTTTTTCTTATAAAGTATCTGGGGTCCAGGGAGGTGTGGGAGGCTACGTGAGATGACTATAAGGTCTCATCTAGATGATTGTAAAATATAAAATACTTCCTCAGATTCTAACAAATGAGAGCTTTATTCTTTGGCTTGATATTTTTAAATAAATTATTTTTCTAATTGAAGTGAGGATAGACAAAACAATATCCTTACTACTGGGTAAAATGACCTAATAATAAACTAATGTTATTTAGTATTTATAGTGTAATTTATATTTATAGTGAATTTTGCTTATTTGAGTTGCTCTGGAAAAATTATAGTTTTCATAAAAAGAGACTAAATCACGCTGGAAGAGTTTCTGTCTCAACATAGTCCTTGCTAGTAGATAATCTCGTATCACTTTCTGTAATTGTCTTTTATTGACTTAAAAGGACAAGCGTCCATATGACTAATTTATAAAGCCCTTAAGAATGATGCGGGCAGAGTTCAAACAGCCACCCGGGGTCAGCTACACCCAGGTATGTGGCTCCAAGAGGATCATTGTGAGGCGTGGACGGAGCAGAACAGAGATTTAAAATCAGTGGGCACATGCATAACAGGTGATGCAAAAGGGGCTACGACCTGTCAGTACAAAAATATATGAACATACAGTTGTCATTTGTTACAGAAAAATTGTCTGTTTTAGGGTAGCTTTCTTTTGAGAGCTATCAAATAATAGAATCTAGCTGTATGCATCAATTAAACAAAAACCGTTACAGTGGCTCAGATAAGATGTAAGCGTATTTCTCCCATATGTAGAAGAGGCCTGGAGACGGGCAATTCTAGAACCTGCATGAGAGCGCCTCAGGACTCTCAGGACCCCAGGCCCCTGCCTGCTGACTTTTATGCCGGCATGAAATCACACTCCTTATCTTCATAGTCCAGGGTGGCCGCCTGAGCCCAGGTGGCCATCTACAGATCAGGCACGAGGATGGAGGAGGGGACCGAGAGAGTCATGGGCTGTCCCTCACCGAGATGTCCCAGCAGTGCCACATTTGTGTGCCACATTTCACTGGCAGGAGCTCAGTCATGGAGCTGCACCTAGCTCAGAGGAGAGCCGAGAGTTAGTCTTTAAGCTGCGTGCATTATGTCTTGCTCAAGATGAGGGTTCTAGTACTATGGAAGGAAGACAATAGAAATTGGATGGCACACTGGCAGTGAGCCCACTCAAGCTTTCCCACTCTCTGTGTGGTCCTTCGTGCCACTTCAGATGAAATGGACCATGGCCTGATCCAGAATGGCAGTTCTTTCTGTTCCTGGGCGTCTGCCACAACATACACTCTAGTAATAGTTACAACAACGTGTCTATCTCAGAAGAACACCAGGAAGTTAAAAAAAAACATGATTTATTTTATCAGGTTACTCCTTTCTTGCCAACTTTGACATTTAGGCTTTTCTCTGGTTTATAGTATTTTTCAGTTTGTCAGGGCTTAACTTCACTCTTCTCTGGTTTCAGCGTATAAGAAGAGTCTTGGAGATGACATTAGCTCTGAAACATCGGGTGACTTCCGGAAAGCTCTGTTGACTTTGGCCGACGTAAGGTTTATTTTATATTTTTTATTTCCTCAGTTAGCTGCATGCTTAAAAATAATTATTAGGAAGTTAAAAAATATCCAAACTGAGGCAATGAGTTTTCGATTTTCCTTATGAAACGATTTGCTCACTTTGCGTTTGCGTTGCCACCAAGCAGTGAAATGTTTAACCGCCATCAGAAGAGCATAACATATTCATGTCACGGAAAACTCTTTGTGTGGTCAGTCTACGGATTCAAAGTGTTTAGATCAGGTTTCCCAATACACTGGAAAGGTTCTGATAATTCGTCTGACAAAACGATTGCTCATTTCCATTATACGTGTCTCCATTTTGATAACATGTTTATTTTCTTCTGGGCTCCAGAAAATATATATTTCTTTAGTTAGCATTTAAATTAAGTATGAAACATGATACAGAAAAGTTATCTTCAGTGATGGGTATATCTGTCTCAGGATTTAAAAACTGACTTGCTGCGGCTTCATCCTTAGGCCTTGGGAATTGCTGCTAAATCACTTGTCACCAGGTGACTAAATGAGGCCACACCTTGCTGCCTCTTCCTAGGAGGCTCGTGACTTTATAATAAAGGTGGCAAGGTCAGGGGTGAGCTGTAATCACAGGTGTGTGTAAGGGAGGAAATAAGTTAAGCCCCATCTCACTGGCCTCTCTGAGCTGATTTGCACAGCCCTCCAAGTGTGACAGAACCCCAACAATGGTTCTACCTGAGGGCTGAAGCGGCACTTGTCAAAGTGAGGCCTAGGCCACTAGGAAACAAGTTCCTAATTTTGGTTTCAGTTGTTTTAAATGGTGAAAACCTTATGAAGGTTGAACCTACAAACCCAATGTATGAGGCACTGCTACAAACATTTATTCAAAGGTGCATGTCCGTGTGTGCACATGGCGTGGGCACATCCATGAGTGTGCACATGGCACATGAACACACAGGAGGCAGTGAAGACTAGGGCTTCAGAATCAAACAGAACTGGAATCTTATGCTCCTCTGTTGCCTGCTAGCTTTATGTGTCTGGACACATTACTTTAGGCCTCAAAGCCCTTGTTTTCACATTAGTAAAATTAAAGTAATAATAGTACTAACCTCACAGGATGCTGCAAAGATAGATGATAAGATGATAGATGATGATATAGATAGATAGATGATGATAGATGATAGATAGATGATAGATAGATATAGATAGATGATTGATAGATATAGATAGATGATAGATAGATAGATAGATAGATAGATAGATAGATAGATAGATAGATAGATAGATAGATAGATAGAGAT